GTGCTTTGCTCTTCTTGCAGCTCCGCGTACGGAACCCGAAAGCGAAGAGAGAAGTACGACAGCGCGGCACAGAAAAATTTAATGCAGATATAGAAGTGTAACGACGGGACACAGGAACAAAGCTTTATCCGCATTCATAAGTGTGCTGTATACGTGCTTTGCAGTTGAAGCTGAGGCTCCAGTTGAAAGTGCAACGGATGCCAGCGCCACACTAACAGCCACGGCAGCCCCACGGACAGACGACGTAACTGAAGCAGCGCAAACACACGACGAAACATCACCGCCATCGACAGAAGCACCAACAACACCCACATCCTCCGACTCATCAACCCCACCGGCAGAATCAACAACTGCAGCGACAGATGTAACGTCCACAACTGCCGCAGAAACAACAACCGCTATGGATGTTGGTCAGCCTTCTGGTTGCTCTTCTTCTGCGTTAAATCTGACGGTTGCCTTCTTTGCAGCTGCTCTGTATTTCTTTTCGTTCTAAAACAGAAGGCGAAGTATCGCAAAATCCACCTAAAAAGCATGGATGTACCCCCTTCTTTTTTTTTTTTTTACAAGTAAGTACTTCCCTTTTCGCCGATTACTTCCTTCACATATACTCTACGAAACTTCATCCCCTATTTCCCCTCCATAGCCACAGTGCTCAGCTAAGGGTCCGCCCCCTGCAGACGTTCTGCCAGCTGGGCTCAACAGCGTTTCAATAACATTCTTCTTATTCTTTCTGTATACTTCAACATTGATATTTATCAAGCAAGGGTAGAAATAGTTATTCATACAAAACGTGAATAACTATTTCTACCCTGGGCGAGCCGCACAATATCCCGTGAAAGGCGAATTAACAGAGCAACAACACACAGCAGCAAAGTGAGGTCAACTGCAGCTTAAATTCATCCTAAAAAACCGCACTAATGCATTATTGTACGAAAAAGTATTAACTTATTAGGGCAATTAGTTAGATATTTCATGAGGAGGGTATTATGCCGTTTCGCTCAGCAATAGAGCACAAGGCTTTCCTCAGGAAATTTCTGATTGCTTGCTGATACGTCAACAATGATTCTTGGTAGCCTCACCTCGAGAAAATATTTTACGCAATATATGTTTGTAAATGTATTTTTTCATGTATTTATATTTCTAGACTTACTTTTGATATCCTCTCTTGCCACTGCAGCAGTCATACAGCGCAAACGAGATCTGTGTGACGAGCTCCAGAGGAATGCAAAAGAGAAAATTTAGCACTTGTTGGTTGGAATCATGAGGACTAGAACACACCGACAGGCGTCAAATACATATTGTTTGCTTCTCTATGTGTTTCTTTGTTCATTCTTCCCTCTGCAAAAAAAACTTCAGTTGAATGCTGGCGTCGACAATAAAGGTTTGTACGACTGTTCACGCAATAGGATTTCATGTTCAGCTCCAGTGGAAGGAGGTGCTATTAAACTACCATTTTTTATAACCAAACTAAATCGAAAGAGAAAAATGTAAATTCCAGTTTGTGCCCCTCGGCAAGGAAGAAAAGGCAACAAACTATCACCAGGAAATGAAAGTAACTCCCCTCCAAGCAATACACAATTGAGTATTTCTCCACAGCTACGGTGTGTAGAAAGCGAGGATATATGCTACTAAATGAATATGCTTATATTTTATGCATATTATACACAATGTATATATTACTGGCGATTAGGAGCCGTGATTCCTTGAGCATGAACTGCGGTTTCAGACTGGTTATATGGATGAGAAGAGCCGCAGTTGACATTCCCTTAACGTATTTTTGTTATTTAGTTATCATTTAACTTTACCTTTAACGCGTTTTGATTATTTATTCGGGTTGCTGACGGTCGTTTAAGGCGTTGAAGTCATTTAATTTCTTATTCCCTCATCAGATTTATGATATTTATTTTTTGGTGGTGGTATTAATTAAACACGGTTTGGTTTTACATACTTGAAAATTCAGATTCGTGAATGCTATCAAGGTGGTGTGTTGGGCTCGCGACGCTTCCTGCAGGGGATGAGGCGGAATTACGGAGGTATTTTGTTTTCCGTTGCACTAAAACATTGAATTTAATGATGTAAACATCAAAAATACCATTTTTACTTCAGCTTTCCCCCGAATTTGTCGTGATTTTTGCTGTATTGACGACCACGCAGGCCGCATAGAAACTACTGGGGTGGGTAGGACCAGTGAGGAAGGCTGTGAACCTCCATTCTTCTGGGGGGTTCTTCTCAATATGGAGAAGTAATACACGTTTTGACGCATTATACAGTTTTTATTAACCTTTTTAGACATATACTTGTGTATATTTACTGATTTTTGCCCGCAGAAACATGAAAAATAATAAATGCCAGCGGGGGGCCAGAGGGGGCGATCGCGAATCTTGTGACCTTCGCGCCGTTTCCCGAATTTCTCGTTTTTTAT